CCTTGTGAATATAGGAGTTGACAGATGCATGAAGCTTTGAGGCCTTGGACAGGTGTTGACACACCCTCAGCTTATCGGGTACACCTGGTTCTTGTGGCTGAACAGAGATGAGGAGAGAGGAGGATTGAAAGGGGCTGCGCAGAATCCTCTCAGTGACTTCCCGAGAAAAAGGGCCTGAGAGCCTGCCCGACTTGACTTCTTTGGTGAGATAATCAGAAATGGTGTCGGGATAGGCGATGATGGAAGGATTGTTGGGCATAACAACGGCCTGGGAAAGGGAAGGCATATGGCCAATAGGGAAGCCGAAGCACAAATTGAAGGGAAGGAGGGGATAGCTTTCGAAAAGGCCGTGTTTGCGCAATAAGAAGTCGAAAGCGCCTGGGTTGTATGGATGCAAGATCTTGTCAAATAGAGCAGAGTCCTCTGTGGAGGTAGAGGACAGAGGGGGGCGAGAAATAATCGAAGGAGAGAAATCGGAGTAGGAAAGATGAAGGGAAAGGGAAGCCTGAAGGAACGCATCAGTTTGAGGGTCGGGGATGGCAGATCCATGAGAAGGCGTGGTGGTGCTTGCTCCCACAGAAGGAGCAGAGGTGGGCGCGTTCGTCCTTGTGAGAGCATGGGTGTCCGCGCTCGCCTCTGAGATTCCAACTGATGCAGATAACCTTGTTGTCGGGGCTGAGGAGGTTGTGGTCACTGTATTTGGACCATACGGCTTTCCCGTCACTTTTAAACTTGACGACGATGGTGGTGTCTGTGTGATGGGTCGCGTCGTGGCCTCGCTCAGCACAGATAAGGCAGTCGGGCGTCGAGGAGGAAGACCTGCTGCTGCCTGTTGAAAAGGGCTGGGAGGGACGTGACTGAGAGGGGCGAGAGGCGAGTCGTGGTGTGAGCTTCCCAGTGAAAGGAGCTTTTGTGGGTTCAGGACCAATCATCCCACGAATGTCAACCATCATCTCGTGCTGCTTCTCGGAAAGCTTGTAGGCCTGGTAGTAACGTGCAGCGTCGTATTCTCCGTATTTAGCCCAATGTTCCTGTCGGAACTTCAGCTCATCAGGTTTCCAGGCATCATAAAGGTCATCTTTAGTGTCCTGAGATGTGTAAAAGCAAAAATGATCGTTATACCAGTTACTGTGAGCATCGGCTGTGCCTTCCTCATCGCGTTCCTTTTGGAAGAGATACATGTTGCCAGCAGCCTCCATCCATTGGCTACAAGACAAGGAGAGCTCCTTGCCAAAACACGTAGAAAGCTTCTCGACATCAAGAATAACGGTGCCCCTTGTCTCACCAGGGTTTGGATTGGTCTTTGTCGTCGGCAAAGTAGACGCTTCAACATTCAAGATATTCAAATTCTTATTAAGGAAAAAAGGCAGTGGAACAGCAATGCAAAGCTCAGTGTCAAAGAGGCTCTGCGGAAAGGTGGCCTGCCAGGGAACTCCCACAACCCAAGGTACCATCTTTTTTCCATTCATGCAACGACGCTTTGCAATTCTAGCCTCCTCAGCAGAAAGTTTCCCGTCGTCAGCAGTTTTCCTTTTTGATTTTTGATTGTCTTTAATTTCTTCATCGGCGATCCATTTTGCGAGTTTAGCATAGATTAAGTTCGGAAAGGAAGCAGCAAAGGAAGGAATGTGGAAGCGATGCAAGTCGGCGTCATCCAAAGAAACCAAAGAAGCTTCATCAGAGCCAAGCTCGGTATGGACGGCGGGATCAGAAATGTGGTCGAAGGTCTTCCGAGACCTTGCAGCATTTTTGTCCTTGATCTCCTTGTTCATTTGGAGGATAGATACCAAGGGAAGATTTTTTAACATTTGAATGATAGCCGGGGAGGTGTGAGTACGAGGAACTCAAGAGGGAGCGGCGAGGGAATCAGGGACAGGTGTGGCAGCCGTCTGAGAGACAGGTGTAGCAGGCATTTGAGAGACAGGGGTAGCAGCAGTCTGGGAGCTTTCAGCACTAACAGCAGCTTGAGAGTTTTGAGGGAGAAATTGAGGGCTCTTTTTGCCACGTCAGAACGATGAACTGAGGACAAGGAGAGTGCAGTCTCCTTGTCTAGGAATCGGAGACATGCACAGGTGTTTGTACTTATGAGTACAAACGCAAGATTTCGTTCTGACGCGTTACTGTTATCTTATCCGATAATGAGCTTGCACTCGTTCCTCGTGCTTGCTCATCGCGGATTGTGGAGAGTGTTCTGCAGTGTGTTTTCACACTCCGACGGTCCAACGGGCCACTCACTCTGCACAATGGATGGGCACGAGACTACACCGGACACCATCTAAATGCCTCAACCCATCCTTCCTCTCCTGTCGCAGACAAGGTTCCCTCTCTTCACTCCTGGCTAGCCGACGATTGCGAAAGACACATCACTTTCCGGCTTCTAGCTAACCTCACTGTACTCAGTGTACTGAGGGTTGCGAAAATGCCTCATCAACGCCTAGAACGCGCGACGATTGGCATCGAAACAGGGTATGTCAAACTCTTTTTTCCAGCACTTCTCGAGTTTTGGATCGTGTGGGGTGTCTACACTGGTTAATTTGTCGCTTCTGCTCAGCACTTTGACCGACTCGTTTGGCTTTTGACGGTCCGTAGTACTTACGTTAGCTTGCCGAAAATCTTGCTGACCCCGATGCTTTCTTCCCAGCTCTTTGTGCTGCGTGAATAAAGGTGTATGACAGGGGCCTTCATCGCTATCATCTTTCATATCCAAAGTTTTCTCTGATCCTCAAATTCGACCTAGGTCCTTCCTTCCAAGGAAGCTGAGGTCCCCACTGCGCTCAGACCTCCCGGACCTTGAAAGTGACTCGGGAACTTAGTCTGGACTGCGTCTTGTGATCTTTGTCTGAATGTGGTGAAATTTGACAGCATTTTGTTTAACGAGGCCTGGGCAGGACATTTTAAGTTGGCTTCATCTCGAGCATTATTATCGGCTTCGGGGTAGGCGAGATCTTTTTTGGGAGATACATCACTAGTGGTGCTGGCATGCATTAGAGCTGTCCCTCCGTATCCCGTATCCTTTCTGGGAAAGGATACGTACGCTTCTTGTTCTTGCTATTCTTGTGATGTACTTGTAAATTTCTGTGCTGGATACTACCCTACCTCATGTCGTTCTTGGTCTTTTGCAATAGTAGCGTGGCTTAAACACTGGTGCGTAGGAAGATGCAGCGCTCTCAAAGGCGTTGTTGTGCCATATATTTCCACTTGTACTTCGCGTCAATGCCTTGAAAAAGGACACTGCGGTTGGCCGCTTAATTGTCCGTACGCACGAATGACCGGGATGACATTTTTATAGAACAAGGAACATCGGCGTTGACACAAGAAAACTTTGCACAGGCCATGAAAATTGAACAGTCGATACTTTTGCAAGATCAATTTGCAACAAAATATCAAGCAGTGGCACACTCCGGCAAGAAAACCTATCCCATCAATCCCACGGACAAGGCCCAAAAAAATTATGATTATTTGAACTAGTATAATAAATATACGGCGAATGGTGATGACGCCGAAAGCCGTCCTAAAACCCAATATGGGGAAGCATTATATTCAGAGGTTGACGTTGATGGGGGAGCAGCCCACGACGATGAGGCCATCTAGAAAGGAAAGGACTAGATTCAGAAGGGCAGACGAGAAAGAAAAGAAATACGTACGGAAAGTGTTGCCGTCGCAGCAAACAGGCTGCTGGGTGCTGGTTGATATAACTAGATGAGAATGTATCCAGAAAGGAGACAAGACAACTTACCAGCTGCCACCTTGGCTGATAGCGAGGGCGCTGATGGGAGTGCAACTAGTACCAACTTGACCAGTGAACTGGCTGAGGTTGATGTTCAAAAGGGAAGCTAAGACGTTGGCCTGTTTCGAGTCGGACGCAAAGGTTTGGTTGCCTATAAAAAAAGTTTTTAGAATAATCAGACCCATGCCTCGCGGTGGAGAGATAGGGGGTTCGAACTAACAGCATTGCATAGAGCCAGTGTTGCACGAATTCTCGATGTCGGGGACGGGGGAGGCAGCGACGAAGGAAACGAGAGCAGCGGCGACGAAGAGGACTTTGGAAAACATTTCTGAGCGAGCGACGGGGTTTCGGGTGGGTGATATAAAGAGTGTGTGTGTTGGTTCTATGCGGAGACAGTGACGAAGTTGGGTATTCGACTGAAGAAACAATGTGGTGTCGCTCCTGCTTTTATAGATCTTTGCAACGCTCTGGCGGACCCTTGGGCGGACCGCTGCAGACCGCTGCCTTACTTTCCCTTGATTGAAATAAATAAAACGGCGTTGATGGAAGAAAAATTGTCAGGCTAGCCCTGAGCTAGCGGTCACCTTGACAGAGGAGAAGTCCCGTCACTTGGCCCCCAAATCGGAAATCGTCCTCGGCGCCTCGCACAAGTCTCCAATTCTAATGCGATTGGAAATCTTACTCATGAGCTACGCAAGGCTAATGCTATAAAATCGCTTTTTATCGTTTGCGATGCAGTTGACAGTGTCTCTAGTATCCGAAAGGCTAACGCACCATGCAGGAACTGACGTAAAAATTGGATAAATAGTATGCGCCATGTACCGATCGATAATACTTAGCCAGATCGTAACCAGACAAAGACCACGCAGGGACTCAGGATGCGGAAAATGCAATTGCAACGGGCAGAATTCCGAGCTCGAAGCGAATAACTTGAAAAAATGTTTCCGTTGGCGAGAATTTTACGCCCGAAAGTTGCCCGAAAGACTGCAATTTGTCGTTCACCGCTCAGGGACAGCAATCAACATAGCGGGGTTCTTGACGGTCTACATCGAGACCTAGGGGTCGACAAGGCTTCTTCCGACCCTGGAAGCGGCGGCAGGACTCTGAGGCTGGCAGTGGACACGGAAGCTTGTCAAATGGAATTTGAGGAGAACTACAATCAATCATACGTTATATTTTTTAGAACGTTCGCAGTGGTGTCCGAGCTTTTCAATTTTGGAAGGGACACGAGTTTGTGTGGAATTTGCTTTGAATTGGTGATGCCATGGCAAGACTAACACGTAACACTCAAGGCCAATTCCGAGCGGCGAGAGGCCTCCTTGCCACTGCACCTTTGGTTTCGGCAATAAATTTTTGGTTTCTGAAAATCACAAAGAGTGTTTTGGGACAATGGCGGTGGGAAAAAAAAGACAGGATTATACTTACAACAGAACATTCGAATCCGATGCAGGCTGGTAGAAAATTTGAATGTTACTTGTATGTTGCTAGCCAGCCACGGAAGGTACTTGCTCAGAATTTTGTTTACTTGTTCCTTCAAGGCGGTTGCGGGAAAGAGCGGTGCGGAAGCAGAGATTTCGATGTTGAGTGAAACGGTGCGAAGCTTTGGGAACCCACGCGATAGTACAGCATCCAATCTTTCCCATTCACTTCCGGTTTTACACCGACTGTCGGTTTGAAGGACGACGTCCAGGAATATTTCTTCAATCACGTTGCGCCCCGAAATAATGCTAAATTCCTCGCAGATTCCGCACAGGGGGTCTTGAATGTCATCTTCGATGTCATGCTGAAGGCGCAATGTCCTCAGCGTTGAGAGAGATGACGCGTTCATCGATGCGGCGAACGCTGTGGATCCCTTTGTCATTTTAGCTACAATTGTGAGTGAGGTATGATATATGTAGTAGGGGTCCCCGTACGTACTTGTGTAATTTAGAGTTTCAAGCTGCTTTGTAGCCCTGATCAATTCTTGAATTGCCAACAAATCTTTCTCTCTATCCGCCTCGACGCTTAACGTTCGAGCTTTACTGAGTCTAGCACAGGAACGCCATTGGGACGTCTGGCGTTGAGAAGGTGTATGGCATATGAATCAAGGTCCAGACGGAAAGAAAATGACTGAAGCTGTGGGGCGGCTTCCGGTGCAGAAGGACCTTCTTCATAGCTCGCCGCCATAGTAGGTTTTGTGATGCAGGTCAAGGTGAGGTCGGCTAGATTCATGCAAGGAAAGAATACGGTGATTGGGAAATCACAGATGTATGATATACGCAAGCGGGACGATGGGTGGTATACACTTTTATGATAAAAACCAGACATATGCCTGGAGGGCGATGTGTATAATGCCTAGAGGTTCAAAGAGATCGCATATCTCATTGTTCTAGGATATTTCATTGCGATTTTCATATGGATACCTGGTGCTTTCAATATATATTTCATTCTCAACCCCAGGATATTTCATTGCGATTTTCATATGGACATCTGGCTCTTTCAATATATATTTCATTCTCAACCCCAGGATATTTCATTGCAATTTTCATATGGATAGCTGGCGCTTTCATTGGATATTTCATTGTTAGCCCCAGGATATTTCATTGTGCTTTTCATCTGAATGCCTGGCGCTTTCAATGGATATTTCATTCTTGTTCCTAGGATATTTCATTGCACTTTTCATAGATATACCTGGTGCTTTCATTGGATATTTCATTGCTAAACCCAGGATATCTCATTGTGCTTCTCATTTGGATGCCTGGCGCTTTCAATGGATATTTCATTCTTATTCCTAGGAGATTTCATTGCACTTTTCATATGTGTACCTGGCGCTTTCAATGAATATTTCATTTTTAGCGGCAGCTGACCTTTCAGGGTCCAGGGTGCATTTCCAAATGTAAAATAGCAATAAAATCAGGAAAAATTAGGGCTCATTGCTGATCATCATGTTGGGTAACATTGTCAGGGTCCAGGGTCCAGTTCCAAATATGGTAATATATCCAAAAATAGCCAGAAAAATAGTGGAAAAATTGAATATATATAAAAATGGTGTACAGAACATCAGGCACTGCCTTCAGGGTCCACTTCAGGTTCCATCCCAAAA